ATCTGAGCCATTTCCATTGGCTTGCCTTTCTTGATTGCCTTCAAAAGCACGTCTTAAATTGCTTATGAATCCAAAATCACTTGAACTTTTCACCTTGGTTCCATTGTTGTGGGACGCATCAGGGTTTTCTGCGTTATCAGGAAGAGTGTGATTGATAGAAGGTCCAGGAATTGCAAGGTCAGAAGACCTTCGGGGGTTGGGTGAAGACTCTTCCCTCTTTGAGTCAAGCCATTTGGGTGATTTACTGGCCTTTAGATGTTTTAACTTTTCTTTATCAGAACTCATGTCACTCTTATTTGGAAAGTGGCAATGTATTCTAAGATAGGAGGCAAAATAGTTTTATAATTAGGTAAGAAGTGTCTCGAATGAGAAATGTATGGGCGAGGTGCTACTAAGGATGCCGGAAGGAGCGATGTGCCGCCCGAAAGGGAAGAATAAAAAGAGGGGGCTCTCTTCCCTGACCAAGACAATTACTTACCACCGAATAGAATTGAAGAAAATTGCAGGGAATTGCGGAGTTAACGAACAACCTGAATGTTCATGCTAATCATCATCATCAAGCTAAGACACTAGTAAGTCTAGGTGAACCAACGTAATTAAAGGCCTCTAACTCTTACGTAATCTCTGCGGACCTCCATCGCGAGTATACAAAAATTTTTTTCACTAGAAGAGTAATTTTTCTCCTAGAATACTAAACCTAATCAAAAATGCCTAGATCAAAGAGATCCAAGCTCGTGACGTTGGCTCAGACAGATAAAAAGGGTAGGGATAACAAAGACAGAATATTTGATGAAGTGAGAACTGCTTTGGATACGTACAAATTCGTGTGGGTTCTGAGACTTGATGATGTCAGAACACCAGTCCTTCAAGACGTTAGATCAGATTGGGTCGGATCCAAACTGTTAATGGGAAAGAGAAAAGTTATACAAAAAGCTCTCGGTGAAACACCTGAGGAAGAATATAAGCAAAATCTGCATGAAATTGTTGATGTGTTTGAAGGACTGATCGGATTATTATTCACTAATGAAGATGTCAACACTGTATCCACCTATTTTGAATCTTACAAGAAGAATGACTTTTGCAGAGCCAAAGAAAAGAGTGCAATCTCTTTTACAATTCCTGCAGGAATCATCTATTCCACGGGAGGACAAGTGTCGCAGTCTGAAGATGTTCCCTTACCTCACAATTTGGAGCCAACTTTTAGAAACAAATACAAAGTTCCAACGCGTATCAAGGCCGGTAAGGTTGTCATTGACGAGCCTTACAAAGTGTGCAAAAAGGGGGATATTTTAAATGTAACACAGGCTCTGATTTTGAAGCAGTTTGGTATAGCATCAAGTGAGTTCAAGATCCGAATGTTGGCTTACTACGACTCTGAGAAGGAGCGAGTAATCCGTTTGGGGGAGGAGAAAAAAAACTAAATTGAATTCCATGTACAGCATAGTAATTGATAGACAAAGTAGTGACTTTATAATATTCCTAATCAAACATACTTCTGGTCCTGGCCTCGCCTAAACCACCTGCTAGTTTCCGTTCTACTCTTCTTCCAGTGACCCTTCGAGCTATTTTTTTTTGACACAATCTGCGCTTACCCGGCCCACCGCACTACACGGTACTTCAATCAGTAAACTAAACCAAAACAAAGAAAGCATTCCAACAACATCGTCTTAAATTCATTCAGTCTACCCTTGGATTTCTCAAGTAATTTTAGCTCCAGCTTCTTATGATATTTTAGCCATGGAGCAGCTAAATATTGGGAGAATATCAAGAAAGACTGGTCGGAAGGCGAAGAGTAATGTATCTAAGGATGCGCATGGATTTGAGGACATTGAAGAATTCTTCATTCCGACCTCTGAGTCTTCGGAATCGGAAGCTGATCAGGCATCAAACTTGACAAGTATCACTCCTCCTCCCGCGCTGGCATCATCTTGGGGAAGGAATTCTCCTGCTAATAATATAAGGACAACACCGTTGAGTAAAGTGGGAGGAAGAACGTCTTTGCCAAAGGCAAACTCTTTACGCTCCCCTTTGCCGCAAACTAAGAAAGCTTCTGCATTGGTAGAGGATACCGAAGATGAAAGCCAACAACCAGAATTTGCGGATGATGATGATCTGTTTAATATGAATGAATCTATGTCACCTATAAACCTGCAGAAAGATTCACCCGATAAGAACCGATATCTTCAAAATTTAGAACAGTTGAGCCCAGATTTCGACGCTGATGATCAATTTGTCAAATCGGTAACAAAGAGATTAGCAAATTCTAATAAGAAGCAGGCACACAAAAGTAAAAAGGCAGCAAGCACCACGAAACGAATAGCATTGAATAAGAATAGCAGAAGGAAAAAATTGTCTGACTTATCTGATAATGAAGATGAAGACGAGGATGAAGATGAAGAACAAGATACCCATGATTCACCAAAGAAGACACAGAAGAAGAAAATAACGACACCCTCTGTTAACGCCCAAACGAGGAAGATAGAATCGCCTACTGTTAACACACAGACACCATCCCAACCACTAAGAAGGTCTAGCAGAAAAAGAGTTCAATGCTTAAAGTACTGGGAAAATGAAAAAATTGTGTACAAACCTGTACCTGGTGAGAATGGTGAAACGGAAAGAAAAGTCGACTCTGTTGTCACCCATATCCCGTCAACAGCATCCCAGCCTCGATCGAAAGCTAATCCAAAGACAACGTCAAAACCAAAGGCAAAAGCAAAAGTGAAACAAATATCAAGAAGGAAAATTGTCATCCCAGACGAAGAATCTCAAGATCTTTCTAATGAAGAAGTTGACACTGAAGTGGATGGTGGAGAATGGCTGAAGGATGGCAAACTAAACACATTTGTATATGATGGACCAGGATCAGATAAAAAGGTTCCAAGGACTATTGCATGGGCTCCAGGCCATGAGGAATACTTACCCCCGTTCCAGGAGAATGGAGATAACTTTCGAATATCAATTCTATTTGATCAAGAACGAGATTATGCTGCCGTTGGTATAATGGAGTTACCAGTAGCGGGTCAAAAATCACTAAAAACCAATGGAGACATGTACTTCACGTTCTATGTGATCACCGGTTTGATTGAAATAACTGTTAGTAATACCGTTTTTGTAGTCAACAAAGGATGTGCATTTGAAGTACCAATGGGTAACTTCTACCAACTAATCAATAAGGGGAAATCTTTAGCCAAATTAATATTCATGCAAGCCAAATACAAAGATCTCAACCTGGAAGAAGGCCCAGAGACCATTGACTAAGTGTATCATTCCTGTGTATTATTATTATGTATCATAAAAGAGCAATCAGTTACTTTCATGAACGGTAAAAAGTCGTTGGTCTCTAACTCTGAAAAATATCTCTTCCACTAGAGCGCAACTAATACCAGGCTGTCTTTTCTCAAACTCTTCCATTGTAGCCTTCAAGGTATCCACATCAAGCTTTGTGACTTCAGTGCTGGCTCTACTCCTAACTTTATCCAAAGCATAAAGAATCACGTACTTCAAATAATCCGAATACCCCAATTGTAGCTTCTTGGAAGGCATATCCAGCTCTGGGGTGGTTTCTTCAGTCATGGCATTACTGGCACTGAGTTCGCCTGTGATTGGAGACATCGGAGACCTTGATAATTTTCTGCCACTAGTTCGAATAGTCGATAGCTGCCAATAATCTTCCCTGGCACCATTTGTCATGTTGACCAGTTTTTCCAAGGGAATTCTTGACTTGGGTGTGATATTCTTTTCTCTCATCTTCTCTTGTTTCTTTAGTATCAAAGGAATCAACGAAGTACTTCTTCGAATTTTAGTCACAAACGGAGTTTGGGATAAAATATTGCAACTGGGCCGTAACTTTGGGTTTTTTTGTAAACAGGCTGCAACAAAAGCTTTGATGTTGCAAGAATAATTGTCTCCTTTGAGTAATGGTGCTGGAAGATCAGGAATGTCAAATAGGACCTTCATTGGGTTATTTTCCGACAATGGGGGAGATCCTGTGGCTAACTCTATAGTCGTGATTCCTAATGACCAGATATCCACCTTCTCATTGTACCCGTTCTTGCAAGTAATAATTTCCGGAGCCATCCAAAAAGGCGTGCCCACAAAGGTATCCCTCTTGACTTGAGTGACGCCAATCTGACTACTAACTCCAAAGTCGGCAAGCTTTACTTCACCTTTTTCCGTCAATAGGATGTTTGCAGCTTTGATATCCCTGTGGATTTTTCTCTGTGAATGCAAATACTCCAGTCCTTTCAAAGTGTCTCTAATGATGAGAGCCACACACTGTTCATTTAACTTTCCTAGGTACTTCAATAGTTCACTACAAGATCCACCACCACAATACTCCATGACTATCCACATAGTAGTTCCCCTTACAAAAGTCTTTACATAGTTGGTAAAGTAAGGGGACCTCAATTGGGAAAGGAGATTAATTTCTTGGATGAGGATGTTAATATCTTCTTCTGTTTCTTCCATATTTATGATTTTGATTGCAAACACCTCATGGGTGACTTTATTTATACTAGAGATATGGTTGAATGTTAGTGCTTGCTCTGTGAGGCTAGGAGATCCATCTCCAATCTTTGGTTCCCCTTACGATTTATAGACATCCCCGAAATTTCCCTTACCAACGCAATATTGTAGCTCGTAGTAGGTTAGAGGATCATCAGCCATATTAGCTTGAATGATTGAGTTTTTTTGTAGCTTTATAAGCAGCTTTTCCTTGAAGCTTAAGTAGAGCAGTTTGAAAAAGAGACTGTGTACAAAATATCCTACTTCTTGGTATTAGTATTTGTGCTGAGCCGCATGTGTTGATAAGCGGAGGCGATGAGGTACAGAACTGATCTGCTCAATATCATCACTATTGAAGTGTGAGTGGGTAGCTAAGTTCATGGTTTGTTTATTCAATAAAGTCTGAGTCTGACACGGTAAAAGGGAGCAGTTGTGAACTGATAGAAGAAGACGTCAGGCGTATGTATAGATAAGCAGAACTCTTTCTGCAAGGATCCGTGATAGTTTAGTGGTAGAACCACCGCTTGTCGCGCGGTAGACCGGGGTTCAATTCCCCGTCGCGGAGATATTTTTCATTACTATTACAATGATAAATTTTTTTCTTTGGTTTAAGTTAGCAGAATAATTTTCTGTTAGATGTCAACCATTCATCCAGGAAAATCGACTAACTAATCAACTACTAAGTATCCGACTGCAGAAGACGGCAAAAAAAAAATATGCGCATGCCCGGAGTCGAACCGGGGGCCCGACGATGGCAACGTCGAATTTTACCGCTAAACTACATGCGCTTTTCTTGAATAGGGTGTTCTTGAGTTTATTAAGAGCTTTGCGAACGACGTGTACTACTCCAAACACCAGAAATAATAATTAGTGATAAAATTGTTTTACTTATAGTGATTCCTCGCAGATTAAATGTCAAGAAAAGCATACTATTATGCTGTAAGAAAAGGACAAAACATAGGAATCTACCGTTCATGGAATGACTGTCAAAGACAGGTCTCTGGATATTCCAATGCTGAGTTTAAGAAGTTCTCTAGTGCTGCAGAAGCGCAAGACTATCTGAATAAAAGCTCAATTGATGAAACGGCTAGTAATCGAAACAGTTCAAGCCACTCATTACCATTTACATCTGCTAATCGGCCTCTTGTTTCGAACAGTGGCATCTCTAAAGTTACCAAACCAACAAATCTGGGGGTCGCTACAAATCATAGCCCATTGCTAAATCGTGAATTGATATTTGACGAAGTATGCAGCAACTGTGAAGTGATCTACACTGATGGCGCTACCCGAGGAAATGGAAAATATGGTGCGAGAGGCGGTTACGGGGTATTTTTCAAAGAGAACGACCCCAGGAACATTTCGAAACCATTGAGTGGAGTTCAGACAAATCAAAGGGCTGAACTTTCTGCGGTTAGGGATGCATTAATTATCATTGAAAAAGATTTAGCAAGTGGGTCAAAAAAACACTACACAATCAGGACAGACTCACGATACACCATAAACTCCATCACCAAGTGGGTCAATAAATGGAAGCAGAACGATTGGAGAACTGCAGCAGGCCCTGTTCAAAATAGAGACTTAATAGAGCCCTGCACAAATCTTATGGAATCTATCAACTCCAAATATAAGGAGTTAGGTATGCCCTCTTTGAACATTGAATATGTGAAAGGCCACTCTGGAGACTATGGGAATGAAATGGCCGACAAACTGGCCACTGCTGGAGCTGATAGAGCATAATTTAGGAGCTACAGATTTCATTACGAATAACCTCAACTCTAAGCATGAACTATAATATGGACATTTATCCTATTGAATTAATTAATCTGAATCTATTATTATTGCGTCAGGACTTCGAGTTTTGTCCTTGGTGCTAGTTGACTGAGTGCTTTTGTCCTTTCTCTTCTTTGATTTCCGCAAAGTTTGTCCTTGCCCTGCAAATAATGGATTTTGATTTGTGTTCTTATCATCAGTTTCATTGTCTCCTTTGTATGGTTTTAAAGGGTAGCCAAAGAACAGTTGGTTATCTGGAAGTATTAAAGGAGCAGGTTGACCTTCTAAACTCAAACCGCTGGTATCTGGAGAAACTACTTCCTCCTTCTTTACAGTTTTTCCTGAAAGCTTTACCCCAGAACCTTGAAAATTCGTGGCGTTGGGTTCTTGTTTCAATAAATCACTGTAGTTTATCTTTTTTGCCATGGAGCCTTGGCCAACAAGTCCTGGATTGGTTGCTGTAGGGTTAATTTGGCTCTGCTTTTTCTCTTTCTTATAATCTGGTTCGACATATCCTACAGGTGGTGCAAAGTCAGTTTCCAAATCAGTTTCAATTACACAAATTCCATGTGATGACGATTCTGGCTTGACTTCCAAAACTTTGATTCCAAATACTTTATTGTTATAGCTCACTTCAAAAATATCATCAACGGTTAAAGTAGTAAAGTTTCTAAGAACGTTTTCCAGAACGGCCTTCGGATCAGAAATCTCTAAGAAATCAACCGACTGAGGTTCAATCTTAACGAATGATCCCAATGGCAAGTCACAGTTCTTAATCTTGAGCAATCCACCAGTTTGGATACCCAAGGTACTCATCATCCATTGTGGTAAGTAGCATCTTCCTTCTTCAGCAAGAAACTCTAGGACTCCACTGTGCGTGCTTCTTCCTGTTTCTTGGTTTGTCAATTCAAACAGCATAGGGTAGCTGATATGCAACATGGTCAACTTGTGTAAAGTTGAAGGGGGCAAAAATATCTTTCCTCCAAAGTTTGCCACTTCTCTAGAGCTGCTGCCTGGCATCATGGATACCGGGTAGCACCTGAAGTAGTCTTCGAAGCCCGAGGCCTGCTGAGCACGAAAGAAGGCTTGACCAAGATTAGAAAACTAAATGTTAGAGTCCTTGCAAATAGAACGAAAAACAAACGAATGTCCCCAATTGGGAGAGAATTACTCTAAAAATGGTGAAACCTTCACAACTTACCATCACTTAAAGTCACACTTAACAATCTAACCTCTTAGTGATAGAAGAGGTTTGCCATCCGTGCGCTGGAATGCATAATGTTGGTCGCGGGCCCGCTGCTAGGCGGAGCGAGGTTCGACTCTAAGCCAAGGTGCCTGAAGTAAAAATATAGTTTCCGGGGAAGAGATAATGGATAGGGCACTACTATCAAAATGCAATACAAGTGAGATTAGTCTCAGCTAAATAAACACACTACAAACATATAGCAATGGCCAAAACCAAAACCAAAACTATAGATAAAGATCACAACCTAGATGACGATGATGATGATCTGTTTGAGGGAATTGATCAACTGAAAGAGTCTTTGGAGGCAGACGATCTTGATGACGAGGATTATGAAGAGATGTCACAAGATCCTGATAGCGATGATAAAGGTCAAATGGGAGAAGTTTTGGAAGGACACACTGAAAACTTCCAAAGAGGGGATTATTTATCATCATCAAGACCAATTTCAGCAAATCCTGCAATTGAATTGGGATTTTCTGATGATGAAGAGCTGGACCCTGATCTTATTGATGATGATGCTGATTTCCGAGAAGCTCTAAGAGAAGCTTCCAATTTTAAGCCGAAGCGCAAAACCGGTGGTATGGCTGCTATGAAAAGACGCATGAGAAAGGACAGAGAACTCGATCCTGAAGTGAGAATGCTTTTATCTCAAGCCAATGAAGCATTTGTGAGAGGGGACTTACAAGTTGCCCAAGAGACGTACGGTGAGGTTATTAAGAAAGATTCTAAGAGTTTCAGCGCTTATAAGACATTAGGAGAAATTTACAAAATTCAAGGTCTTTTAAACAAGTGTGTAACCTTATGGATCATTGCTGCTCATTTGCATTCCTGGGATTCTGAGTTCTGGTCCATGGTGGCCGAGTTATCCTACCAGTTAGGACATACCAGCCAAGCTATTTACTGTTATTCAAGAGGAATTTCTGCAAGCGATCACAAGGATCTAAAAGCCATATTTGATCGAGCCGTAATTTATCGAGAAGTCGGTCAGTACGGTAGAGCTTCTGAGAGTTTTCAAAAATTGTTTCATATCATGCCTACAAATTCAACAATTTTGAAAGAGCTAGCTCTTGTCTATTTGAAACAAAAACGAATAAGTGATGCAATTGCATTATATAAGAAAGTATTTGAAGAGAACAAAGACTATCGACAGCTGATTGAAGAAGACCCTACATCTTTTGAACGGTTGCAAGTCCCGCAGTTTGGATGGTCAGAGTTGAATATCCTTTCTGAACTGTGTAGCAAACAAGGAGCATGGAGGATGGGAATTTCTGATATTAAGACTATTGCACGCTGGATTCAGCATCGTGAATCTGAAACCTTTTGGCAGGATCAAAAGGATGATTCAGAATTTGATGACAGGAGACGCTCCATAGAAGCTTTCAAGGCCCTTCCAGAAGTAGAAAAGCAAAAGAGTCATAGCTTGCCAATTGATATAAGGATTCAATTGGGATTCTTTAGGCTGCGTCTCAAAGAGAATGAAGAAGCCTTAATTCATTTCGGTTATCTTATGGATTCTGCTATAGAAAATACAGCAGATCTTTATTTGGAAGTTGGAACTTCTTTGGAGAAAATTGGATTGTTTCATGAAGCCTTGAGATTTCTCTCTCCATTATCGGAGCTAGAATCCTATCATAATGTGGAATTAATTATGGTCATAGCGAGATGTTTAGTTGAAACTGAAGACTATACGCAAGCAAAAGCAGCTTACTTGTCGCTTGCGCAAAATGACCCGGACAATATAGATGTTTTATTATCTTTGGCAGAAGTATGTTTCCACTTGGGAGAAAACGAGGAGGCCAATCAACTGTTTGTACAAATTGAATCGAAGAAGGAACAATTAGCTCTCGAAGATTTTGACAATGAGGCAGATGAGAACATGATTGATGTAGGTTCCATTGGAGGGCCTGCTGAACCAGTAATAGATCAAGCTTTGATTCTTGAAAGTAGTCGAAAAAAAGGGAAGAAACGGGACGTATACACCAAGGATGAAATTGCTGATATGGAACAGAGTGCTTTGGCTCGAGTTGCACATACATACTCCCGATTGAAAAGGCTAGGGGATGAACCCAAGGAGAAGGGTAACTTTGTCATGAAAGCGTGGCTTGAAATTGCTGCTGATTTGATTGAGATGTTCTTGCTTTCTAACATTTTCATATCTCGAGAGAAGGTCAAGCGATTCTTAGCCTTGATGAACCGTAAGCGAACACAAATGCTAAAAGTTGGGCAAAAGATTACGAGAATGAAATACGTCAGAGAAGAGACGGAACTTGCAAGACTTCCAGAGACGAAAAAGTTGCGCAACACAGCTTCTCAGCTTGAAGAGTTCAGAGGATTGAAAATTTCAGAATGGAAGGATTTATTTTTTAGATATTGCCTTGCTTTAGCATCATATGATGACTCTGAGGAAGTATTAATGCTAGTTGAAGTTGTGAAAGGCATTGAAGTTTTTACCAATACCAAACAAAAGACAACTTTGGTTAATTTGCTGCAACTGTCCGTTGCCCTCCAAATGGATGACAATCAATTGATTAATTCGACAATAAGAAATT